CTCGCAACGTTTCCGCTACACCTCGTGGAGATGCTCTTCCATACCCTACGAACATACCTTCCAAACGTGCAAGATCGTTCACAACGAGACTCGCTCCTCACGCAGGTCTTATATTGTGCCGGTTCGCTAGGCAGACTGGGCGGTGACTTTAGTATGATGATTGCTCTCCTGGAAGAGGACCTGCGGACAGAGCTAGGAGAAGACACGGAGGATACGGAGGAGCAGGAGGTCGAGGAAGAGTGGGTAGAAGTCATGAAGAAGCACCGAGTCCAGGCATCGAGACTTGAACTACTGGCTTCTGGTGTTGGCTCTGGTAGGACGAGTAGTCCTGTAGACCGAGCAGCGAGCCCAATGAGATAGAGCTTTCCCTATACTTTGGTCTCAATACACGCCAGATGTCTACACGATCTTTTGTCCTATCGGCACATCGACGTGAAGATCCGCGAACACCCCTAGGAAGCATTTCCACGAATCCTTGTCTAGCACACGCACATGCCGTGCACCTCATGGACATTCGCAGACCGATTAGGCCTAGCGTGCCTGCATCTGGACCGCTCCTTCCTGGAGAAGCTGGCCAGGGAGCTGCGCCATGATTGTATACAACACCGCGACTACCTCCTAAATTCATCATCAGACGTATTTTGAGTGTGCAATGGCGTTTGTATCCTTCTGGCGTGCGCACACTCTGCTATGGTATCCAAGGATAAGCCGCACCTTGAGAGGTTCTTTCCAGTCGAACTCGACTAAGGAACTATGCCTTTCTCAGGGAAGGACCAGCGAATACCCCCAGGCTACATTCCTAGGTCTCGGGGGAGGGTACAAATACCTTTGTATCCTCCTGGCGTAAGTGCTCTCCTCAGACATGTGCGGGATCATGCCGGATCTTGATATAGACTTTCGGATGGAAGAGCCACTGGATTGACGATGCTTCCTATCCACGGGCACCATCGAATACCTCCCAGCTACGTCTTCAGGTCTGGTTCGAGCTTATAAGCCTGTCTGTATTCTCCTGGCGTAATCATCTTGCGCTGCACGATCAGATATACGGCGCATGCTACAAGGCCCTTGCCGTCGACATTGATAGTAGGCTTATGCTATGCTCCGTAGGAAGGACCACGTATATCTCAAGATACCTTTTCCCACTTAGCTCTACATTTTAGTGCACTGTTGTAGCCTCCACGGGGTAGTATGCCGCACCGAACTGCTAGGAGGTAGATCGACGTATCCGTAGAACGAGCCTTATTGGAGGTTGTGAAATTGAGTTGGTTGAACACGATTGGGGGCCTGGAGCAACTCGGCGTAATCTTGGGTATTACGGGACTTGTGATGAGCTGATATACGAAATCCTATTTCCTCTCACTCTCATTCAACCACTTATACACCACCCTCGCGTCCTTCCCTCTATACCTCTCGTCATTCATCGCCTCACCAAAAGCCTCCAACGTAGGCTTATCGAGTACAGTACGCGCGCCTACCATCTCCGCAAGCTGACTCCCCATGCCCAAAACCTTTGCACAAAGCTCGATGCGAAACCCGCCTTCGTACCCTCGCGAACTCGGCACATTGGCTTGTATACCCGGCACTGGATTGCTCTTACTCGTGACCCAACACTGGCCCCCGGAGACATTAATCACATCCGTAAGCAGTGCAACGTCTAGCCCCATCTTCGAGCCGATGTTCAGTGCCTCAGACGCGGCGAGCGATGTAATGGCACTGAGGTAGTTGTTGATGACCTTGAACGCTGTACCTGCGCCGATGTCGCCGCAGAGAAATATCGCATCTGGTTTGCCCATGTGGCTCAGATAACTCTTCACGGTGGGGAAAATGTCCTTGTTGTTCGCGCCGGCCATGAACGCCAAAGTACCGTCCTGCGCACCCATGGGTCCACCTGATACCGGCGCATCAACAAAAGTCAGCATCTTGCCCGCGCCAGAGTTCTCCACTGCTTTTGCGACCTCCAAGATTGTAGCTGTTTCAATGGTACCGCATTCCATGATCAGCTTTCCCTCTCCACCTTTTGGTTGTTTCTCCGCACCGGCCAGGACTCCTGTTTCTTTATCAAGATACACCTTCTTTACGGCATTAGAATCTGGAAGCATTGTTATGACGGTGTCGGCTTTTTGTACGGCATCATGTCCGTTCTTTATTACTTCCACTGGACCCTGACCTGATGCATCTGATTGGAACTTTTCGAGCGCGGAGATGGACACGTCGCAGATCAAGAGGGTATGAGAAGAGTCGAGCCCTTTGCGGAGGTTGAGGGCCATAGGATAGCCCATTACGCCAAGACCTGGGAACCATAAGTATGAGGAGTGATAGGGTTAGTTAGGTAGGAAGGAACGCACCGATGAAGGCCACAGTTTTGCTTGGTGACGACATCGTGTTGAGACCGGGATCGTGTCAGTACCTTCTTGCCGATTAATGTTTCCTTCTCTTTGGATTTATGAGGGTACTTTCGCAATCGTAGTCTCGGCTTGTTATTGTGAAGCGTCAATTGGCAGGAGCCATGCTCAGTAGCGCGATGTTTCCTACGCGATTGCAGTCGCGACGGACTCACCAATATCTTTCCCCGCACACAACCGTTCATCCTGGCCATCTACTCGCAGACAGTACTTCCTTGCTCAGAATACCCATCACACCAAGCCGCGTCGTGCTTCCCCAAGCCTAGCCCCGCATCTCACCCCGCATTGGGGAACCACACATGGCTTCTCCACCTCCGCAACGTTCGCAGATCGGCAATCCGGCTAATACTCTACACCCTGCCACCGACGTCGATATGCAGCCTTTCTGTATCACTCACTCTTCAGGCGTCCTGCGTATGGAAGCGAGTGACGGAGTATTTATCGAAGTTGGAGAAGCACCTAGGCCTAGACGATGGACACGAGTAATGAGCGCAGGAAGGCGCATGGCGTACATACATACCACCATCCGCTACTGTTTCCTTCGTTTTCTGAAATCCTCCGGCAATGGCAACGCCAGGCCTTGAACGCTCGGTAACCGACGAGAAGCACGAACAAGTGAAGCGTGAATATCTCGCGCAAGATGAGACCCCGGAAACCGTCGAGAACAAGAAGAAAGAAGATGCCTTGCGACGGAAGCTGGATTGCTTCGTTGCGCCAGTCATGATGATGCTCATGCTCATTAGCTATCTTGATCGCGGTAACATTGGGTTTGCTGCGACGCAGGGCATGACGACGGATATTGGACTGAAGGGTAGCGAGCTGAATGTACGTGAAGATCGTGATTTCGAATACTGGACAACACAAGGCTGACAAAAGCATAGACCGCTGTGTCGGTATTCTACATCTTTTACATTCTCGCTGAAGTACGTGTGTCCGCCATTTGCAGATATACCCATCTAACTTCATCTAGTTTCCGACCTCGTTACTTGTCAAACGTCTCCAGTTCAACAGAGTGATCCCAACGATCACTTTCTGCTGGGGTATCACGTGTCTATGCACCGGCTTTGTGCAGAACTTCGCTGGATTGGTCACCACGCGTATCTTCCTTGGCTTCTTCGAAGGATGCCTGTTTCCGGCAATGACGCTGTTCTTGTGTAACTGGTATACTAGAGAAGAGCTGGGTATCCGCATCGCATATTTGTTCATCGCCTCGGCGTTATCGGGAGCCTTTGGTGGCCTCATCGCATTCGGCATCCTGTACATGAACGGAGTTGCTGGGTGGTCGGGGTGGCGATGGTAGGCTGCAGCTTTCGCACACTTGACTAGGACTAATGCATACACAGGCTTTACGTTATCGAGGGTATCATCACCATTATCTGGGCAGCCTGTTGCATCTTCCTCGTCCCCAAATCCTTCGAAACCGCCTACTTCCTCAATGACGACGAGAAGGCTCTCATGCGCCAGCGCGCACATCGAACACAGGCTTACTCCGACTCTGAGGGCTCTGGTCATTATGGAAAGGCTGATATCAAAGAAGCAGCGAAGGACATTAAGAGTTGGGTGCATGGTGTCATCCAGATCGCGGTTGTGACGATTCTATATGGTTTCGGAACCTTCTTACCCATTATCATCCGCAACGGGTTCAACTTCTCCACTAAACAGGTACTGCTAGCCACTTACAGTTTTGCATACAGTACTGACATGCACAGGCGCAATACCTCGTCATTCCCGTCAACATCTGGGGCGCTATCGTCTATGCAATCGGCGCATACCTGTCTGACCGTTATCAAACGCGTTTCCTACCTCTGATCCTCATGGCGCCCGTAGGCATCGCCGGCTACGCCATTCTCCTCTCTCCAGTCAGCCCATACGTCCAATACTTCGCCACCTACCTCATCGCAACAGCCTGCTTCCTCTGCACCGGTGGAAACATAACCTGGCTATCTGCGAACTGTGCACCCGATGGCAAGCGTGCCGCTTCTCTAGGCATCCTGCTCACACTCACCAATATCGGTGGTGTGGTATCTGGCCAAATTTACCAGAGCAATGCTGCGCCAAAGTATACCTTGGGTCACGCCTGGAGTTTGGGGTGTTTGGCTTTTGCATGGTGCGGATGGTGGGTTGTTAGGGCGATGTATAGAAGGAGGGAGAAGAGGAAGGATGTCAAGCTCGATCAAGGGTATACTATGCCTGTTGGCAAGCAGTACACGGATCGTGAACCGGACTTTAGGTATCAGATATAACTGCGCAATCGTCTGAGGCACACCCAAAATCTACAACTGTCACATGAATTGACTCCAGGCTGGAGGACGACGCGTGACTTTTGGGTTTCAAGTATAAGTCTAAAGGATAGCGTGATGTGCTTCAAGCCTTTTACAAACAGTATATTCAGGGTTAAAGGGTAGCGTGGCTCACTTCGACCTTTCCGCAAACAGCGTGTGATATAGCCAGAGGGCCTGGAGTATAACAGGCTCACACATGATTTTACTCTTTGAACATTTTCATGCAGTCTGGACGTATACCAGGCCCCCGATCGTGTTCATTTGACTGAATGGTGCAACCATCAATAAGTCTCCTCGCAGAGATACATTGGTATGCCTATTCGAGGACGATACGATGCTTGCTGAGGTCGCTCTCGCCGAATTGTTCCATGATCTCGCCGTTCATTACACCATGGATGTAACAATCGCTTACGAGCTTGTGCCGGCCTTCTTCCGCTGGTGTGAGGAGGAAAGGGACGGTTGCCCCGAAGATGACACAGCACACGTCGCCGACTTCGACCAAGTCGCCTAGTGGAGCTAATCCGATACGCCCATCTCTAGTCAGAAACACACTCGCGTTGCCGAGATCATAAAAAGCCCTTCGGACCCATATTGCGTCTTTTCTCTCTTGTACTTCCATCACAGCCTCCTGGTCACCCGGTCTCGCCACACGGATAATCTTTTTATATGCATTAATTAAGTATTGCTGTGTCCCATCGGAAATGGCGGAGAAGCTACTGCTTCCTGGGTAACCTATCGCTAAGCTGCGTAAAAAGTCGACATGTCGTACTGCGATGCCCAACCGTGACGAGCTTCGCATCACATCATCCCATAACGTATCGATGGATACTACCCCTAGCCCGCTGGCCGACGCATATGTGGGATTGACCTCCGCATAGTCCCCTTGTATCGTAGATGACCTCCAGATGACTGTGTCGAAGGTGCAAGCACCAACGCTCAATCCATTCTCGCCATACTGGGTGGCTGTGAAGAGTTCTGTGGCGCCTCCCGCTTGAAACCAATAGGTCGGCTCCGCTATTTTCGGGCGATATTCCCCAGCAACATGCCATACTGGTAGCCAAGAAGGATGCATGTCGCCCATAAGTCTTTCTCTACTGTTGTGAGTGACAGCCGAAAAAATGAACGGCGCTTCTGCGGATTCCTCCATCAGTGCATAGGTGAGACGAAGATTGAGGTCGTCTATCGAAGGAGTGTAGTCTGCCTCCACGAACGTGCGGCCTGCACTGGTAATCGCGGCTGAACAGCCCAAGAATGCGTAAACATGGTCTCTGGGATCGCTTGCTTCCAGGGGCCGGGCTTCCATAAGGAGCGCCCAAAAGGGCTTCTCTTTGAAGAAAGTGGTGGCTAAGTAAGCCAATCCGCTGCGGGATTGCTGCCATCGTTCCGGCTGATGGATATTGTAATAGAAATAAAGGGCTATGCGTTTTGAAGGAAAAGTCGGGAATTGCTCAACGATACCCCGCAGGACATCCTGGAAGTCTGGCTTTGTCTCTATCCAGATTGATAATTCCAACACATCAGCAATGTCGATGCTGACTGAGCCCCAAAACATGCAGCATTTCTCGGCAATGGCGGCTTCCTGAACAGTCCATACCCGTCCGAACCAGGGAAAGCGGAAGACTTTTGCGACCCCTAACCATGTTCCTTCGTCCATACAAATAGGGTACGGTTTTGTGAAGGGTTCCATGTTGTAGACGCTTCGGCCTGCTTTCAAGAATAAGTCCGCAAAATATGCATTCGCCTCGAGGATGAGGGCAAATGCATCTTTAGCAATATTTTGATCATCGCAACCAAGCCAGACAAGCGTACGTTTTGCGTTCGCATACACCTCGCCCATTCTCTTGACTTGATGTCCTTTCTCCTTCTTGTCTTCCTGGTTGATACACAGGGCATCCGCCCATAGCACTCGAGGTTCTGATGTGTGCCGAAAATTTCGAAGAGCATCTGAGAGGCTGACGGTGATCGGCACCCGCTGTCCATTACACTGCACGTCGACAGTGTCGTTGGGGTCGCCCCAAACGTACGATATCGCTTCATATGAGCCCTTAGACTGTTCTATGTCGACAATCTCAAGGCTGCAGTCGATGTCTTGGTTGTTGTCGCCGGGTTGGAGTTTCAGCACGCGTATGAATTCGCCCGCTGGGAGTGGTTCGTAGATTGTGTCGTACTGTCTCTCCTCGCATACTCTCGGTCGCTTGGTTTCGGGAGGCGCAGAAGGAGACTCGATCCTGCGCTTTGCCATGCTTGGACAGATTGCTAAGAGAACTGGGTGAGCTTGTAGAATTGTAGTGTCGGTGGGAAAATGTCAATTGATGAGGAAGGCTGAGGGCGGTGCAAGAGCGCCAGCAAGGCAGCTACAAGCCACCCACATGCTGATTGGCGAGACACCATGCACAGATGTGGCCCCCAATATTCTCTGTACGGTGTCGCTGAGCCTTTGGCGGGGTAATGTCGGCACAAGGATGAACGAGGCGTTTGAAGGGACATGAACAGACACTTACGTAAAGCGAACATATAGATATATTAGACCTCTAAAGACCACTTTGTGCCCTAGTAGTATCTAATGCCAAACAAAAGAAATACCCCCATACCATGTATATGCCTCCCAACCCAGCCGCGGAACCAACCAGTCCCACGACATCAGATGCCGCCTAACCCAAGGAAAAGTGGTATGCTGTGGTATCATCCATATGCGAGCCCTCAAAACGCCATATAACACCGTTCCGTTCCATCAGACGCACTGCTGATAGACCGTGTAGACCCGTTGCTTACGGGCAGGTCAGACTCCTCGTCCTCTTGCTATCGCCCAGCCCCAGTACTTCTCCCCTGACATGCTTGGGTACTTGGGCTTTCGCCCAGCACTGCATGGCCACTCTGCGCATGAGCTCCACCTCCTCATCGCGCAGTCTGAGTTGTCGCTTCGCTAGCTTGCTCTTCCTCAGCTTGACGCCCTTCTCCTGAACCGCTTGTCCGGATACCACGAAAGGCACCGTAGGATGTGTAAGCCCACGCTTCGAGCCCGGGCGTTCGGTTGTAGGAGACGAGACGAGGGACTCAAGGTTCACGCACTCAGCGATGAGGGCCTGGATACCAGCGGAGAGTTGTGTTGCACGCGAGAGGATGTAGCCCCAGATCTCCGAGCCCTCCCAGAATGGGTCGTTTATAACAGCGTGTTGGAGCGCGGGGAGGATGTGAGGGAGCGGAGGCAGCGTTCTGTCTTCGATGTGCTTTGGCGGTTCTTCTTGCGTTGGCGTCGCGATGTTTGCTGTGCTAAGCAGACTTGCGGCGATGGTCAGGCGGATGTGGCTGTCGGTGCTGAGGGTTGCTGTTACGACGCATGCTGGGCAGCCCCGGGTGCGGCACCAGTCTGATTCTTCGGTTATGAAGCACTGCAGGCCGATAAATGCGCTGCGGGATTCGCCCGAGAAGGCGAGTTCGAGATCAGAGGCGCGTTGTGTGCATAGTGCGGCGGAGGCTAGTGTGGATGCGCGGGAGAAGAGGGTTACGACGGGCATGATGAGAGCGTGGAGGATATCGCGGTGGAGTATGTACGTCTGTTTCGCCTGGGAAGAACATTGCGTGTGTGTTGCGCAGAAGCTGGCATACTTGTTAGTGATTGAGGTTTGCCGTAGAGCTGGGGGTGGATAGGCATGTGGAGCTGGAGAGAAGCGATACGAAGCGCGATAAGCTGCTCGCGACGGGGGAAGAGGAACAGGAACATGAACATACTCAGCATCACCGGCCAGATGCCTCCTCAGCGCGCAAAAGGCTTTTGACTCGCCCAGCGCCTCTACATCCTCATGTGGGATCACAAAAGGGCTCTCCATCGGCACAGCGTATCCGTAGTCCATCGTATCTCTCTGTCGGCGTGGCTATCTCGCTTCGCATCGGTATGCAGTCGGGCTATCTCGAGTCGAAAGGCAGACGAGAACGAACAAGCTTCTTCGCACGACGAGGCTAAAAAGCAAATAAGAGGGGGAAGAGCAAAGCAAGCAAGATGCCAGGGAAAGAAGGCTTCGAGGGTATTATCATTATTCCCTGCAACGGACGGCCGTTCCCTATTTCACCCCCCAAATGACGCGAACGAGCCTCCCTCATGCCCAGGAGCTCCACCCGCTGCTGCGCTGCCGGGGTGGAGACTGCTGTAGATCTAGACTTGCATATTGCGCACCCCCCTTTCCTTATCCGCCCACGCTTGTGCAGAGCCCGTATCCCACGACTGCTTTATGTAGCCAACTAGCTCGCGCCAGATGGCATCACCACCGGCCGGGAAGTACTGCCTTTCGGATTCGGGCAGAAAACGCGGCGTGGGCGGTTAGTTCCCTGTTGCGCATCAACAGCTTGCTTTTCTCCGCACTTCAGCAGCATCAACAACGAAGAAGCGGTGGAGCATTTATTTTGCGACCTCGTTAATTTGAGGGAAGCGAAATGCCTCCTGTATCTCAGACAGCAGGTGTACCCGCGCCTACGTACTTCTCTCCCTTTCCCCTAAACCAATTTGCGAGCATGATCTTCAATGATGCAAGCGCAGCTACACCGACCCGACCGCGCAGAGGCCGATCAACCCGAACATCGCGATCGAAACGAAAACGACGTCGAGGGTAGAGCGGTCGGTTGACAAGGACGACCCCGCTGAAACACGTTTCGATAAAGAAAGTCGCTAGCCCAAGGGTTCGCGAGAGGCACTAGATATCGCGACATTGTTAACTGCCGCACTATTGGAAGCGCGTAGCGGCCGACATCACCACCTCAGCTGCGCCATCTCTCGACTTGCAGATGTCATGGACGCACCGCCTGTATCTCTGTGCGAATGGTTCTTACACCTGCACTGCGAACTATTCGGCCCTGCGTCGCTGGCGATATCGCTCGGTTTATGAAATATGGAGCCGAATTACGCGTATCGCTTGCTGGTACCGCGGCCGTGAACAGGGTGCGTCCCGTCAACATCGCAACATGCTACAATGACAGGACAGAAATGTTTGCGTGGAACGGAAGATTGGTGGTGAAATTTTCATGACGCTACAATGATTGATTCAGATACAGGCTGATACGGGCTGAGTGGGAATTGGCTGACGATGGCGTTTGCGCTACGGAGGACGGGCGCTCCCGTGATCGACGCTACAGCAGGATGCAGTCTCAACTTTCCTGCTTGAGATGCACTATCGTGGTGCAAACTATCAGTTTCGCTGTTGAGATGACGTTGCCCAGCCAGTACCACGGCTGATATCGACGCCTCTTCCCCCTTTCCGGTCTTCGTTCTTCCCTCACGCTCACCCACCAGTACAGTAGGAGACCCCTGGGACGTGCAGGCGCATCGGCTTGTAATCCGTCGATTTGGCTGCTAGTCAGGAACGACTGAAACGTGCAGTCGCGCTATCGATCAATTGTCTTGTAGCGCACGCCGGAGTGACAAGCGTTCGAGAATGATGCCATATTTAGTAGCATGACAGATTCGTCTTGTAAGAAACGACTGCAGCTAATGTAGACTTTGCGTCTATCGGACTTGGCTACCAGTGGACTTCAGATAACGGACAAGCTATGCATCGGCCTTTTGTGGTTTGTTGCACTTCGATATCGAGAACGGTAGCTCTGATGAACTCTAAGATTTGTTTGGCCAGACCGTGCCGCCGGTATCCTCTGGTCGATGATAAAACATTACAATATCAGCGAAGCCTTCTTCACCTAAACCAGAAAACTGAGTACGACCCATCGTTGCTAAGGATGCGTCGTTGGGTGCCGTCGGCAGTCTGCTTCCTCCCGAAAGGATCCGTAAGTAGCATTGTAAGCTTCTCTGAAATCGGGCCCATCTCTTGCTTCGACACAGGTATGGGTGGGCTCAACAGACTCGGATCAGGCTGCAGGATGGCAAAGATGCTGCTCTTTGATCGACCGATCATCCGACGATGGACATCTTGCAAGTGGTCGTATAGGGGCCAGAGTGTCTCCAGGTATCGCGCGGCGACGGGTTCGCATGGTTTACATGGCTCGAGCATATCCATGCACGACTTGGCGTACGTGAGATCAGCTTCGACTCCTTCAGTTTGACCGTCCATGAGTTTAGTCGTTGCGCTGAAGAGCAGGCAAATGGCAGCTGAGAATGCCCAGTAAATACTATGATCGTTAGTTCGTGGGGTGTTCGGGTTTTGTATACGAACTTACATGATCCAGCAACGCGTTGTCAGCGTACCGTCAAAAGAGATAAGGCTCAATATGCGAGCAATGTTCTGGGCAGCCATTGCACATTCCTGTCGGTATATCTTGACATCTTCGACTGAAATGTTATTCAACGCAGATGGAATTCCGTCGATAAGCTGGGCTTCTGCTGAAGCCACTAGTAGCTGGCGGTATAGCAGGACCAGTGCACCAAGATACATGATCTGAATCAGTCAATAAAATGATGATACAAGAAGATGGAAGGTCTCCTTACGTGCAACATAAAGACCGCTCGCCTTTGGAAGACTGTCAAGTCTTGTGCGGCACTAGACAGAAGCGTAGGGATCTGTAACGTTTGCGGAACTTCTTCACGCCACTTTTCCAGCTTCATTGTGAGCATGGTGATGTTCCCTTTGGTAGCTAGCTCTGGAGATGCCAGTGTCTTGGCAACCTCGGCGGCTATCAGGTTGATCTTGCTGGTTTGCATGTGTATGAGTTCATCGATGGACAGCTGATCTTGGCGATGGGCAATGCAGGCGACCTAGCCATGTTAGTATCATGAAAATCAATATAGGCTCGCCCTGGCATACCTGGATGTCACTGGCTGTCACCTCAGTGGGATAGCCGAGGGTGTAGGCAAGCCATGAATCCATGAATACGAGGCTACGGAATATCTTTCTCCAGTGGTCGTCCGTTGCTGAGCGAGACGAAGTTTGCAGAGCCGGATACTTCCAACGGGCGATCTGTAGTCCTGCAGCTGTGGCTTGTTAGTACAATCACATGATCAAGTGTACGAGTTGAACATACCGATAAGATACTTGGCGCTCATGTGCTTCTCGAGCAAAGAATAAAAGGACAAAGATAATAGCAAGCGCATTGTGCGGAAATAGTCTTGTCTGGCAGTCTGCTCGTTGAAATGAAGGGTCCCAGATGCGTAGAGCAATCGGCGCATCCGATCAGGGTAGGCATCGATGTCGTAATGCGCGCCCATAGCAGCAACTGTGAAGCATTCGGCAAGTGTCATGTCGTCCACCTTCTTTTGGGGCCGGTAGATACGGTCAAGTATCTCATTAACCTCATCATAAGTCC